ACGAATGAATATTATTTTAGGCATCGCCCGTGGACTGAAGTACCTTCATAGTGAACTTCAACCACCATTTACTATATCAGAGTTGAATTCTGGTGCTGTATATCTTACAGATGATTTTTCACCCAAGGTTTGCTATATACAAACTCCTGAAATGTGTCTTTTTAAATCCAATCTTACAAAGGATCTCTTATAACCCTTGGATCTTAATAAGAGGTGTCTTGGCTTCAACTGCAGCTGGTTGACTTTGAAAGCTGGAAGACCATTCTTTCAAGGTCCGAAAAGAACTCGGGATCCATTGGAAACCAAGTCAGTCAATGTATTCTCCCAAATTCTCTTGAACCACGTCATCTCGACATTGAAAGTAACATCTACGCATTTGGTATTCTTTTACTGGAAGTAGTCAGTGGGAGACCTCCATACTGTAAGGACAAAGAATGCTTGGTGGACTGGGTGAGAAACTCACTTATCGTTGAGCTTTTTGACACAAACTTTGTTGTTACAATAATGTTGAACCATTGATTCTACTGGGCAGAAAAACTAAAAATTAGCCTTTTCTTTCTAATCAGGCCAAGGAATTCCTCGGATCGCCCGACACAATGTCTTGCCTAGTAGACCCCGAAGTGAAGCATTTTGCTGATGAAGATCTGAGGGCGATATGTGAGGTGGTAAATCTTTGCATTCATCCACAACCTGCGATGCTGGTTTGTATGAAGGACTTGTGCAACATGTTAGAGACCAGAATTGACACCTCGGTCTCTGTTGAGTTGAAGGCATCTTCACTTGCTTGGGCTGAACTTGCACTTTCTTCATAGATGAGGTTCAAGCTAACACATAGATGATCAGATATATAAATATATATATATACACACACAGAAATGTAATACTTTTTCTTTTCTAGTTTGAGTTTCTTTCTCTGTTATTGTAAATGCTATGAGTATCAGAGCAGATGAGGTTCGGGCATAAATGCATCAGATTATTCAGGAAGGAAGCCCCTAATCGTGAAATAGTTATTGAAGCATCAAGGAGGTTTCATGAACATGTTCGTCTATGACTAAAAATACATATTTCTCTTATATATATAGTTTTGGTTTGAATACATTTTTTTGTTTGATATCTATTTGGTTCTCAAAGTTTACTTCAGCTCTTGAGGTTTGGAAACTAATTCTAAATAGTCTAGCCTCATTTAACTACAAGTTAACCTACCAAAACACAATGTGATACTTAAGTAGCTTCACATCTTTGAAGTAAATTTCTCTACGCCCTGCTTTATAAGGGCTGTCTTGAGCATGTAGAGAGGCCTATGAACCTCATCAAATTGCGGGTTCGTAGCATTTCTAGTATTCTCAAGCCACTCCCTCACTTTCAGGTGCGGACCCAGAATACGATTCCGATCCTTCTCATCCAAAAGCTGCATTTCAACAAGTCCATGACACGATAAGAACTAGTGAAAACTAAATTAGGGGGAAGACAATAAGTTCAGCCCTAAACGTAATTAAAACCAGTGTACCTGTAGTTGCGTAATTTCACAAACCAAGCTAAGATCAGCTATGGAGGGTTTAAAGCCACCCAGCAAAAACTTCCCATTCCCCTTCAGCCAAACTGACTCGATTTTCGAAAGCGACTTGGATAAAAGCAGCTCAGCTTCAGAAGCTACTTGAGGATCTGGAGTACGTCCAAACAAAGGTGCTAGAACAGTATTGAATACAAGAAGAGCTGAAAAAGATAAAGGCGAAGGGCAAAATAAGTCATTGCTCGTTTGAAAAGATAAAACAGTACCATACTTCTCCGCTATCTATATGAATAAGAAACAAGTACTAAGAAGTTGGATTGCATTTAGAATTATCAGAAAGAAAGAACATCTTTAACATACCTGAACCACGGCGTAAATCAGAATGATGCCAATCCAGAACTGAATGAATTTTAGCCCTCCTGGAAAGATCAGCTGGATACCTAGTAACATGAACAGATATCTGTTACAAGACCTGAGCATACTAAATTGCTCTTACAATCAGGGGTGCTAAAGAATTGAAGATATGCATGAGCAGATTGATGAACTCGGCGATACCGTTTAGAACCAAGTTGTTAGGTCCAACTAAGTACTAAACTACTTCCTCTTTAAGAAGAAATAATAACTAATCCAGCAAATCAAATCTGTACTCCCCAAGTATAAGATCAGAAATCAAAACAATAAAGGAGCCATGAAACCAAAAACCAACAGAAAGCAAATCTATCAGCCCTTCCGTTTGTTGGACAATAAATTAGGAAAAGAAGAGCGTTTTAATAAAAAAAAAAGATACACTAAAATCACGCATACTAAAGCAGGACAAGTCTCCAACACATATGGAAGTCATTCATATTAATCAAGAAAGCTGCAGAACAATAGAAGAAATGAGAAACCACTTACCAGTGATCTGTCACACCAGGAAACGCACATGAAAGATAGATAAGAATAGCATGACTGCCAAAACAAAATGAAACAATACACAATATTAAAAACAACATAATAGCTGAATCAAAATTGGGGAAGCAGGCATGTGGCTGCCTACACAGAAGTTGCAAAAAGTGCTGTGATAACCTAGATATTACTGTAAGCGTCAATCGAGGGGCAATGAAAAGCTCGGTTACGAGAATATAAAGCACATCATAGCCTCAATTGAACTAGAAAAGTGAAGTGATAAGGAAAACACATCTTAAAAGAAAGTAATAGCTGCATTGTTTATGCAAATATCACTAAAATTTTCAAAAATTGTGATTTGAAGAGATGAATATCAAAGTAGATATTGTTGAGGATATTGGGAGTGAATGTCCCACATTGGTTAATTTAGTGGAAGATCATGGGTTTATAAATGAAAAATATTATCTCCATTGGTATGAGGCCTTTTGGGGAAGCCCAAAGCAAAGCCATGAGAGCTTATACTCAAAGTGGGGACAATATCATACCATTGTGGAGAGTCGTGTTTGTCTAACCGATATTAAAAGCAGAGGATCCATAAGGGCAAGCATAAATCTAGAAAACAATTTACTCAAACGAGTATGATGATATTTCCAACCCTCCAACTCTAGGTGGATAACAATATCTACAAAAATGTTCCAATATAAATCTTTCGTTACCTCTCGAACAGCTTAAATCTTCCATCAACAATGGCGGGAACCTTTCCCATTGGGTTGATCTCTACAAGAAAAATCCAAAAGTCTATTAGAGACGAAAAATGTAGAACAGAAATAAAATAGAAGAAGTAATCCACAGAAAATCATGCTTTCAACTTTCAACTAATCAGCAATACATTGTCATCACTCTGCACCATAAAATCATCCAATACGATTTCACAGAGCAGCAATAAATTGGTACTTATAAACTCACGTCTCTGTTCACCCACCTTTGAATTCGGGAGTCAACTGTTGGCGTTTGGACAAAGTTACAGTGACTTCCTCAAAAGCAATCCCGTTAACCCTAAACACCATTAAACGAAGAATAAGAATAATTTTCATACTCCCCAGAAGCTGATGGACATTGTCGCAATTTATTTAAAAAAGAAAAAAGATGAAGAGAGTTAAGCAAAATTCATGGAAGAGAGAAGAGAATTACTTGCAGAAGATCAGCACAGCGCGAGATGGCTGTGAAATTCGATCTACATACACTTTAAGAGCCATTTTCGATTCCTCTCGCAGGCAAGCTCTGTGTGTACGGCTTTATCTGTTCGTCGGAGTTTGGACAGCAGGAATTTGGATGATCGAATGATCAAGAATTCATGATTAAGAACGCGCTCTTCCCATCTCGATTCCACAGGGGGTGGGGATTTATCTTAGCTTAAATTTCATTTTTAATTTGGTTTCGGTTTATAATAATTTAATCCTCCAAATTTAATTTATAACAATTTTTTTTTTTAATAATGTAGCCCTAGAGTAATAGATTAACCAAAATTGAATGTAAATTTCTATTATTTATCATTTAATATTTTATAATTTTTAATTAGTTTATTGATATATAAATAGGTTGAAATGGATATTTGATAAACAAATGTTAAATGAAAAAAACATTTTTTTTAATAAAATAAGAACAAAAATAACGAAGACATGAACCCTCCATTATTTAAAAGTCAAATATGACGAAAATATTTTTTTATTTTTTATTTTTATAAATTAAAGTCTATAAACACTATAAAATAAAAATTAAATTAGTTAAAAGTTTAATATATATTAAAATGATTTTGTTACCCACAAATTTATACCTATAATTAAACAATTAACGAAACCATAGGATTCTTTTAAGGTATGATTTCCCTATAAATTTAAACTATTTTATGGAGGTAGCTTGTGACTAGTAAAACATATTACAACTTGACTTTATTCAATTACTTTCTAAAGTCAACCCAACAAAACATAAGAATAATCCACCAAAAGTCTAACTACAGAGAGATCAAAATAAATTTATTTATGTATACTAATAGTTATATTTTCTTAAAAAGTTAAAAATTAATGTAAATTATTGTAGTGTGAGTTAAAGATTGGTCAAAGATCGATCCAACCTTGAGTGCTAAAAACATTTAAAAATAATCTTTTAAACTCAAATTTCTGTCTAACAAGCATGTTTTCGACTCACAAATATAAAATTAAACTTTTTTTTAACTTGAAATGTCGGAACCCACCCAAGCTTGAAATGTCTAGGAAAGGGTATTATTGAAGAAGAGGTAATGTTGGGGTAGGTGACAAATGACATTAAAATGGTCCTAACCGGAGAGCTCCAAAGCATTGAGGTCTCACTCTCAACTGTGCTGGGCAGCTGCAGGTACCAATTCGAAGTAAAGGTTCCATTTTTATGTACACTGCAAAACATATTAAGTAAATGTTAATCATTGAAAACGACATGTAGCTGATAGATTAAAAACATTCCCAAAATACTAAAAAAGAGATTTAAGTTTGAATCAGTTTCCCTTAAAGATGGGTTTTAGAATAAGAGATAGAATAAAATGCCAAATTCGAGGGTGGTCATGTCGGTGAGTACAAGGGAGAATGGTGGACCAAACCCACACAGGGTTACAGGCTTACACCAAGCAATGAAGAAAGCGATTGTCGAAAAAGATTCGGGAAAGAATATCTATAAATTATTTTAATTTTACATTTCGTTTTTTCTATTTTATGCCTCTAATCCGAATCTCAAAGCTGTCAAATTTCGCCCTTGATTGAGAGAGAGAGGGAGAGATAGATAGGGAGAGATAGATGGGGGAGATCTCGGGCGACCCTTTCTTAGTTTGAATTCTCAGTCTTTTGCATAGCGAAGTAAGCTAAAGAGAGGAGACTTGCAAGTCTTCTGACTTTCTTTCTTTCTTTCTTCCCCTTCTCTCTATTTTTTCGAATGATTCAAGGGTGAGGTGAGGAATTGTTTAGCTTGATTCTCTTTTTGACTGGGTGCTTCTGGTGTGCTCTCTTTTTTACTTTCTATTTATGAACTTTGATTTGTTCAAACTGGCTTATTCGCATGTATTCTTGCTTCTTCTCATGCTATGTAGTCTCTCACTTCATTTTGATGCAAAAATGAGATAAAAAGAAAGGGAAATTGCTTTTTTTGGTTGTTTTTAAGTTAACCCAGATGGGAATTATTGCTCATCTTTGCTTTTTTTGGGTTCAAATGCTGGAATGTGTCGAATATAGCTGATCTTGATCCACTTTTTTTTATCATTCTATTCTATTGTTCTTGTTTATTGTTGGTATGAGAATCTTGTTTCTCAGCACAGCCTATTTCTGTGATCTATTAATTGCATCCTTCTTTCACCAATAATAACTATATCATTCTAGCACACTTGTAGTTTAAGGATCTCAATTTATGCCTTCTGGTGGATGCATTCACTGGAAATCTCTTAATTTTAGTCTCTAGAGATGATTTGAGCTCTATTAAAATGTCTTCACTGTTATCCTAAACTCGGTATTCTTTGTATATTTGTATGATAGTTATCCTTTGGTGGAAGAACAAATTTGGATTGGGATGGGAGGCTGGATGGAAGTTTCGGACCGTGCTTGCTTCTATTGATTAGAGAACTTCGTCGTGTTAGAGTAGGATGGGTAGTGGTTGTTCAAATCTCTCTAGGTGCTGTTTGACTTCAGATCATAACAAGCCTGTTCCTGACCTCCAGGATGTCGGTAAGCGAAATTTACTGCTCGTGTTGGATTCTTATGCACGACCATAGTTCAGAAAGCAATTACTATATTAGAACGTTTGCTGTTGCAGAAAATGAAGGGAGTAGCGACCTCGACGTACCTGCATTTCGTGAATACACAATCGAGCAACTAAGGATTGCTACATCTGGATTTGCTGTTGAGAATATAGTTTCAGAACATGGAGAAAAGGCTCCAAATGTTGTTTATAAAGGGAAGCTTGAGAATCAAAAACGGATTGCTGTAAAGCGGTTCAACAGATCAGCTTGGCCGGATGCTAGGCAATTTCTGGTAAGCTTATATTTAGGAACGTTCGTACCAGCCTGGCCGATGTATATCTTTCATTGAGATTATGTGCAAGAACATGCTATTGACTTTATATGGTTTTCTGTAAGTTGTTAATGGCACAAAGAAATACTAAATTATTGTGGTATAGGTGCTGAAAATGATTTAATCTATTGTCTTAATTCCATACATTTGATATTATGATTTGGTAGTCTTGATATAACATGAATTAGATCGTCATTTTATATTTTGAAAAATAAATGTATTTGGCCGAAACTCTGTTATATAGTTTCGAATTTTCCTTCAATTTCAGGAAGAAGCTAAGAATGTCGGTCAGCTTCGAAATCTTCGGTTGGCAAATTTGCTTGGTTGTTGCTGCGAAGGTGACGAGAGGTTGCTCATTGCAGAATACATGCCAAATGAGACATTGGCAAAACACTTGTTTCATTGTAAGCTACTGTACTATTAATGCTTTGGTCTCCTTCAGTTACCTTCCTATGATCTTCATATTGTGAAGAGCTCTCATAGACTTTCTGCATTTTTAAGTGCTGCAAGACATAGAATTTGAGAATATTTGAAAACTTCCTTAATTCTCATTTGCTTTCCAGGGGACTCGCATCCTCTGAAGTGGGCCATGCGGTTACGAGTGGCCTTATATATTGCACAAGCTTTGGATTATTGTACGAGTAAAGGGCGTGCACTATATCATGATCTCAATGCCTATAGAGTTGTTTTCGATGATGTGAGCATTTTTAAATTGTGCAAACTTTTTTCATGCCCTTATTTTTCTGGGGTGATGGACCTGATGGTTTTGTGTATAATGTTGATATCTTCTCTCAGGATGGAAACCCCAGGCTTTCGTGTTTTGGTATGATGAAAAACAGCAGAGATGGAAAAAGCTACAGTACAAATTTGGCATTTTGTCCTCCTGAATATCTTAAAACAGGTGCACCCTTTGGACATTATTCATTAGCCGAGGTTATTTTGTTGTCGGTGTACTATTGATAGGTTTATAGAGTTTTGTTTATGAGATCACTTTAAACGTGGGTATTGTGAGATTCTACCTCGGTTGGAGAGAGGAACGAATCATTCTTTATAAGGGTGTGGAAACCTCTCTCTAGCATACGCGTTTTAAAAATCTTGAGGGGAAGCCCGAAAGGAAAAACCCAGAGATGACAATATCTACTAGTGGTGGGCTTGGGCTGTTACAGGCATAGTAATTAGAAGTGTGTTACTTTGTCAACAAAGGACTCCTTTCTTCCGTGGAATTCTATTTTATCGAAAATGTCTCCGTCTAATTATGTTGTCACAAGTTGCATGAGCTTTCTGATTTCTAAGTCATGCTCATTTCATACCAATTTCAAAGATATGCAAGAAAATTTGTCTCTGCTGTCTATTGTCGCTTTTCGTTTGTACTGTTATGCAGTACTTTATTGTTGCTCAAATATCATAACAATACTTTATTGTTGCTCAAATATCATACCGTTTCGTGTCACATATTAAAAATCATCATCTCATTCGTCTGTAGGAAGAGTTACTCCAGAAAGTGTTATGTACAGCTTTGGCACCCTATTGCTTGACCTCCTTAGTGGCAAACATATCCCACCGAGTCACGTAAGTCTTCTTTCTTTTCTCCTTTTTTTCAATCCACCGAGTCACGTCTAAGAATACACTGCACTCCTGAATTGGACATTGCACCCAATGATTGTTCTACTAACGTTCTGTTCTGTAACTTTTAGGCCCTTGACCTCATAAGGGACAGGAATCTTCAAATGCTGACAGATTCTTGTTTGGAAGGACAGTTTTCAAACGATGAGGGGACTGAATTAGTGCGATTGGCTTCTCGTTGCTTGCAGTATGAGCCTCGAGAGCGTCCTAATTCAAAATCATTAGTTTCTTCCTTAACTCCTCTTCAGCAGGACGCTGAGGTATAGTTTTTTTTTTTTTTTTTTTTTTTTTTTTTTTTTTTTTTTTTTTTTTTTTTTTTTTTTTTGCCATTTCAGTAGGTAAATTTTAGGAATTTTATTTTTCGTGGCACGATCGCAATAGAAACATCTTTGTATGATTCAAATTTATTGGTTTTTAACCTGTTGCTAGTTAATAGACGCCCTCCATTGTCGGTTTCATATCTTTGTTCTGCAGGCTCCCTCTCATGTATTGTTGGGCGTACCACACGATGCTTCAGATTTACCTCTTACTCCACTTGGTGAAGCTTGCTTAAGAATGGATTTGACTGTCATTCATGAGATTTTGGAAAAGATTAATTACAAGGACGACGAGGGTTCAGCAACTGAGGTTCGTTATTGCATATCGTATTTAAGGACTAATGTTCACTCAAATTGTTATTTTATTGTTTTTAATGAACTTTCCATTTTTGACTGCCTACACAACTCTCTCACGTAACAAAGCTACAAACTTTAATATCTTTACTCGTGGCAATTAGAGGTACTAATCTGCTGAGTCTTAGGTTCTTTCTGCTAATTTTGATGGATTCTGTCATGCAGCTTTCTTTCCAGATGTGGACCAACCAGATGCAGGAAACATTGAGCTCAAAGAAAAACGGAGATCTTGCTTTTCGGCATAAGGATTTTAGAACTGCAATCGACTGCTATACGCAGGTTCGACATATTTTGTTTCTGTCTAAAACTGATCTCACTTAACATCACCGCTTTAAAACTTTACTGTGTGTGGCTTCATTTTCGTTGGGGTGCTCGAAAAATGAACAACAAAGGAGAACAAAGAGTTAAAGGAAATTCTGATTTGGAAGCCATAGCACATCTAGATAACATCTGTTTGGTCTATTGCAGTTCATTGATGCTGGAGCTGTGCTTTCCCCAACAATGTTTGCACGTCGTAGTTTGTCTTATCTCGCATGTGAGATGCCACAAGAAGCTCTAAACGATGCAATGCAAGCTCAAGTGATATCACCTGTCTGGCATATTGCATCTTATATGCAAGCTGCCGCACTTTTTGCACTAGGTAGCGACAATGAAGCCCAAGCAGCCCTCAAAGAAGGATTTGCACTTGAGACCAAAACAACTGCCAAATAAGTAAATGGTGACCTACTTATGTCTAAATTAATAGTATTGCAGAAGTTGAACTCACAGGCATGTCATAATTGATCAAACTTATCCATTTGTCCTCAAATCCATCCATAATGCTTCGCTGCAACTTTACAAGGTCTTTTCTTGCAGCCCTTGCTGGTGGATTCACTTTATTGATGTGGTCGTGGCTCGAAATGACTGGCTCGTGGTTTCATCAGTTTTCCTGATACATTGGCAAAAAAACAAACTAGACTTGTTCTGCAAAGTAGTCAACTGTTTAAATTATATGGGAAGGGGAGGATTGGTAGTATGCTTGTAATTTCTGTATAGTACTGTTATCTTTTGTCATATTTCTGCTAGGCTATTGTGTTATGTTTGTTTCTGCTGATAAATGGGCAAATATCTTTTGTTAACACTATACATTCAATCATTCAATGCTCTTCTAAATGTTGTTTATATTCAAATTCGTCCTGCTAAACTCTTGGTGACAGAGATTTCAGTGAAGAATCGAGGGGAAGAAGGAAAACAATCTGAAGAATGTAGAGCAATATCATTCATTCATATCATGCTTAACTGCGATCTTCCTTGATGTTGCTATTAGAAAATGTGAGAACCCACGTCCGGTTGGGGAGGAGAATGAAACACCCTTTATAAGAGTGTAAAATTTCTCCCTAACAGATACGTTTTAAAAACCTTAAGAGGAAGTTTGAAAAGAAAAGCTCAAAAAAAACAATATCTGCTAGTTGTGGGCTTGAGCACTACGGAAAAGCTCGAACGTTTATAATCTATTTATTCGATTATGTGGATGTTTTGAGAGGAAACAGTGTTAAAAGATGCAGAAAGGAAAGGATGAAATTCCAGACACAAATATAAAAATACATGCATATAGCATTAAGTTGGTCCAATGCAGACCACTTCTGTTCATTTTTTTGTCAATATTTCCCACCCTTTTATACACAGATGACTAACTATTAACGTTAAGAATCATAACAATAAATTCTGTACATTTAGATTTGGTCACCAGAAAATATCATCAACTGCTGTCTTCGTTGATGGAGACTGTTCATCTTCCTCCAACTCCATCTCCAACTCTGGCTCTCCAGAACCAAATTCAGAGGATTCGATATCAGCGAGTTTCTTCAAATCGACGACTGTCAGCTCATTAAGATGCCTCACCACCAAGTCTGCAGCCCCGAGTTCATAAACAGGATGCTTGCTTGCAACAGCCACACACTTCATCCGAGCATCATGAGCAGCCTCAACAGTTTGGTTTGAGTTCCCAAACACAATGCATCTCTCAGGAATGAAGTTCAAGAGCTGTGCTGCATAAATGAACATTTCTGGATCAGGCTTTCCCCTGTGAACATCTTCTGCAGTTATAATCACATTGAAATCGCCATCCATGCCTATCATTCCCATGGCTGACTCCAGAGCTTCTCTAGGACGAGTCGAAACCAGTGCCATGGGAATTTTATAATGCATCAACACATTCACAAACTCTTTTGACCCTGCTCTTAGTCTGTAAACTCCCCCTTGCAATGCCTGATAGATTTCCTCCTTTCTAGCAGCCATTCTTCTCAGCTGGGCAGGATCTCTTGACCAGCAGAGAACTTCAGAAATGGCCTGTTCATTCTTCATCCCCTCTATTTTTCTGAGAACAAAGGCTGGGGGAGGGGATTTTCCTTCTTCCTGAGAAAGAGCTAACCAGGCCTGCTTCTCGATTTCAGGATTGTCCTCAATCAACACACCCTCCCACTCAAATATGGCACCCAACCAACCACAGCCCATTCTTTCTTGTCTAAGCAATGGATTATGTAATGAAGGATTATCTGCTTTGTTTTCTGGAGGCCATAAACCTGGCTTTCGATCAAAGCCAGAATCAATATCATAATTCCAATCCTTTGGGATTTTGTCCTCTCTAAATGAATATGCCTCTTTTGTCACCTCCAATGATGAGGTCTTAATTGACAAAAGTGCAAATCGATTCACTTTATATCCAGAAACTGAGGAGGACGAAATAAGCCTCTTACCAACAAATTTTGACGTTGGAAACCAGCTGTTCTTCCTCTTGTAGGATGTGTCCTTAACATAAGTTCCTCCACATAACAGCTGATGACCAAAAAGCGAAGCTGCTGCAATCGACTGAACCATCCTAACTAGTTGACTGTGCTGATCTAACGACTGTTTTGTACTTCAGGCTCTGAAATTACACAGCCAAACTAGACAAATTTACACTTAAAAGGAACAGGAACCAACCCACCTGGGTTCCTGTGAATCAATTTCAACTTATCCAAGAAGCAACTTCAATTGAACTATTCAACTTTGAGATAGAAAGAAACCAAAAATCCCCAAAGTGTCCTCTTAGACAGAAAGGGAAAAGAAGAACCTCTCCAAACACAAAATTCAACGCCCTTCCGTCAAAGAACTGCCACAAACATTCCCACTATGGGCAAAACCAGAGCAGAATCCACAAAATCCACTATTCCAAAACGCCAAAAAGGGAACAGAGGCATGCGAAACAAGTAAAAAGAGTTGATGGGTATCGACCAAATCCAAAATAAAACGCAACCCTCTAATACAAATCAACCAAACATCACTCCCAACCGAAACCCAATTAGGAAAAAAAAAAGTTCAAAATAAGAAATAAGATCGGAAAGAAGAAGAAGTGATTACCAAGCAGAATCAGGAATTTGGATTGGATTGGATTGGGAATGGATTGATGATAAGGAGAAAAGGGTTGCTACAGAATAAGGGTTATATTCGAGAACACGAAAAGAAAGAATCTCCCATTCCTCTCTCTCTCTCTCGCTCTCTCTCTTATCAGGGGAAGGGATTTTAGTTACTGGAAGAAGAAGAAAGGAGTTTTGTGGTTTATATTCGTGCGGAGACTGGTCGCGCACAACGACCAGGGCAACCGGCTGGAAGGCCGCGTGTCGGTCACCGTCTCGTTTCTTCTCGGTTCCTCTTCGCTCCTTCTTCCTTTTGCATTTACCCCCTCGCAGTTGCCTCGTTATTACGTTTCTACCACTCAAAATTTAATATGGCCTTTGAAAATTAAGGGAAACCAAAAAGGAAAACAAAAACAAAAACAAAAATTTCCAGATTTTTGATTGATGACCCTTTGGTAATTAGTTCGGAAATAGCCTATCATTCTCAGGAATAAGAGATATTAAAGGCTATAATCAAATTACAAACCTTTTTTTTATTATTATATTTTTATTTTTATGAAAGCTTAATAAAAAAAAAAGAAAATATGGTTAACAAAATCTGAAAAATCCCTAGAACTGCGGAAGAAATAAAATCAAGTAATCAATTAGTTGAATCAAAAAAGGAAAAAAAAAAAGAAAACATCAATTTAACGTACCTAGCCGTTTGTATCGTTGACGGTTTTCGACGGACGAAGTCAAACGGTCTTCATAGCCGTTATAGCCATCGCTTAGTCGGACGCCACCTGTCTCGCCCACCGCGGATTTTACACGGCTTATATATTTCTCCCCCCACTCACACTCTCTTCTTCAGCACATTCTCACACTAGAATCAGAGCGCTCCCATCAACGGCCTCTTTCCCTCTTGAGCTTTCGTTGCCGAAATCGAACTCTCGACCATTACCAGGCGATCGGAGGAAGATGGCCTCTTTCCTCTTGAGCGTTCATTGCCGAAATCGAACGCTCGACCATTACCAGGCGATCGGAGGAAGGGAGAGCAGAATCGAAAGAAGTTTCTCGCCTCCTCAAAAATAGAGGTAATGTCACTTCATTTAGTTTATGGGTAGTTTGGTCTTGGCTATTCTGTTCTGGGTTTTAAATTTTAAGGGTACAGCCGGCTATTCCGATTTTGGGGTTCACTGGAGAACTCAGAGGTTAATCAAAGGATTGTTCATCTTTCCTTTTTTTCTTTTGCATGTTATCGACACCTTTTGTATTTTTCGTGGTTTCGATTACGGAGGATTAGGGCGTTTTTAGTAGGTTCATTGCTTCCATGGCAACCTGATTATTATCTTGGACTCTTCGTTTCACACCCCGTCATCTTCTATCTCTTCTCGGTGGACAAACCTGATATTCAATTTCATGTGTTGGCAGATGAGAGGAGCTCGTATGTCACTCAGACTGGTTCCGACAACAGAGAGGGGAAGCACAAAGCAATTACTCTTGAAGCAGTTGGTCCTCTCACTGCCGGTGGGGTTTTCGCATCTGCTAGGAATACTGGTATGATTCCAAGTTTTTGAATATTCTGATCATCTCACTGAGGTCTGTGAAGTTGAATTTAAGTTTTTGGGGGTCTTTTAAGTTTTTTTTTTTTTTTTTTAATTATTATTTGTAGCTTCATCTTCTTTTAGATGTTACTCTGTTTTTCGGCACACGGATTATGTCAGTGGCTTAAGTTCTGTGAAGATGTTATAGTTTTCAGTATTTGCATACTTGTCTTTCAATGTTAGTATGCCCACATTTCTTACAGTAGTATTCTATTTTCTGAACCCTCACAGCTTTGCATTTAGATTCATTTAAAAGGTCATTTACCAAGGAAGATGTTATACCTATATATTTACGGTCTTCTCCACTTTTAAACAACGTGGACTATGATCACATTCATAATATTTGAGCGCATGTTGAAGGATTTACAGCTTTTTTCCGGTTATTTGCATATGATTTCAACATAAATGAAGTGTTTTACTTAAATTTCTGCACTAATTAGTCACAAGGCCCTAATAGTTGAGTTGAGTGACTACTTCAAAGCTAGCTAATACATTTAGACCGAGGCTGAGATTATCTTGTTGTTATATGCATTTGTGCACACACTTACATTATGGAAAAGATACCTTTTGACATTTTCTCTACCTTACATTTTCTTTTAAAGGTAGAAGAAAGAATTTGGTCGGTCGAAGAGGGAAAATGCAATGCGGGTTCTGAGGAAGAATTGGTCTGCTGAAGTGGAAAAGGTAGAGTCTAAAAAAGAAGTAAAGCTAACTGCGGTTGCTTAAGAAGTTTTCTTTAAGATAAGATTTTGATCAGTAACTATGTTGAAAATTTCAGATGGAAATGGAGGACATGGAGGGAGATAATAAAGTTGAGGGCATTCTACAAGGAATCAAACTCCGGTTGCTACTTTCAACGCTCCATCAGGTAAGAAGTTTTATATTTGGCAATGTTGTGGTTCTAATAAGGTTAGGTTCCTATGTTTAGTTTTTATTATTTCTTTGTTTTTCTTTTTGATGTTTCTTGTGCTATACGGATATCATGTTTTTGTTTTATGAGTGTTTTTGGTAGCTAGGGAGATTTTTTTTTTCTCTAAAAAGAAAAGTAAAGTAAAGCTTTCCTTGAGATCAAATTAAAGAATATAAGAGGAACACTAGAAAACCATCCCAAGAGGAGTTCAATTGACCTAATAAGATGCTCCAATCAAACAAAATAAGACTTGAAGGGCCAGTACGAAAAATTGGACACACCCTCCCATATAAAGGTATGATCTAATAAGGCTACACCTCACCCAAGGTCTTCCAATCCAAAAAAATTCTATTATTTCTTTCAACCTAAAAATCCCATAAAATTCTGTAAAATAAGCTTCTCCAGCATGGAACTACAACCTCTAGGTTGGGCAAAGACCATAGGAAAGATGAACTAGATCCTCGGTCATTCCTTACAAAAGATACAACAATAGGCCCTAATCTATAGGGGTGAATTGAGCAACTAAGTAAGGAGGCTTATTTTAGGGCAAGTAAGAAAAGGGGATTGTAAAATTTTGTAAATTGGATGAATCATTAAGATGTTGGGATGAAGGCACTCCTTAGGAACAAGAAGGACTAAAGGGTGTGCAAGGATGATTTATTATAAGGACAGGCTTGAGAAGGACAAACCTGGAAAAAGACCCTCAAGGAACTTGGAAGGACATAATTGAGAGCAAGTAGTACATTAAGTTACAACCCTCAAGACCCTCAAGGAACTTGGAAGGACATAATTGAGAGCAAGTAGTACATTAAGTTACAACCCTCAAGGAATATCAAGACTCCTTGTTGGATACAAGGAAGGCAATGCCCCATAAGCTCAAAGAAGGTAACAAAAGGATTACCAAGGAAGACTTGTAATCTCAACAAATCAAAAGGAACAAATGCTAGAAAAAGTACATGGCCTTAAGTCATAAGTTAAGGACTAAAGTATGCAAGGACGATTATAGTAAGGACAAGCTAGAGAAGGACAAACCCATAAAAGAACCTCGAGAAACTTTGAAGGACATAACTAAGAACAAGAAGTACAAGAAGAAACAAGAGGAACCTCTAAGTTACAACCCTTGAGAATAAGGTTGATTATTGTCTAAAGCCAAAGACATAAAATAACAAGGATTACCAATGAAGACTTGTAATCTCAACTAAGGATGTTGAGAAGATAGCTACAAGAAACAAATGCCGAAAAAGTCTATGGTCGCCTCAAGACATAAGGACTAGGGATGCAAGGGCGATTATAAGGACAACCTTGGGAAGGAAAAACCCATAAAAAAAGAACTTGGAAGGACAAATTGAGAACAAGTAGTACAATATGGAACAAAAGGAACCTCTAAGTTACAACCCTTAAGGAATAAGGTTGATTATGTCAAGGATTTGTTGGGTATAAGGAAGTCAATACGCCTTAAGGTCAAAGATAAAAGTTAATACAAGGATTACGAAGGAAGACTTACAATCTCAACAAAGGATGTTGAGAAGATAGTCAATAAGGAACAAATGCCTGAAAGAGTCCATGACATCAGGACATTAGTTTAGGATTAAAGGATGCATGGATGATTATAAGGGCGATTATAAGGACAACCTTGGGAAGGAAAAACCCATAAAAAAAGAACTTGGAAGGACAAATTGAGAACAAGTAGTACAATATGGAACAAGAGGAACCTCTAAGTTACAACCCTTAAGGAATAAGGTTGATTATGTAAGGATTGTTGGGTATAAGGAAGTCAATACGCCCTAAGGTCAAAGATATAAGTTAACACAAGGATTACTAAGGTCAAAGATATAAGTTAACACAAGGATTACTAAGGAAGATTTGCAATCTCAACAAAGGATGTTAAGAAGACAGTTAAAAGGAACAAAGGTTGGAAAAAGTCCATGGCCTCAAGACAAAAGTTTAGGACTAGAGGATGCAAGAACGATTATAAGGACATGTCGGAGAAGGAAAAACACACAAAAAGATTCTTTAAGGAACTTGGAAGGACATGATTGAGAACAAGTAGTACAAGAAAGAACAAGAGGAACTTCTAAGTTACAACCTTTAAAGAATAAGGTTGATTATGTCAAGGCTTTGTTGGGTATAAGGAAGACAATACGTCCTCTGGTCAAAGATAAGGTAACACAAAAATTTCCAAGGAAGACTTGCAATCTCAACAAATGATGTTGATAGGACTGTCAAAAAGAACAAATGTCGGAAAAATCCATGGCCTCAAGACATAAGTTTAGGACAAAAGGATGCATGGATGAATCATAAGGACAAGCCAGAGAAGGACAAACTCGTAAAATGACCCTCAAAGAACTTTGAAGGGCATAACTAAAAATAAGTATTTCAAGAAAGAACAAGAATAATCTCTAGGATACAAACCTTTAAGAATTATGTCTAAGGCTTGTTGGGCATAAGGAAGGCAAAATACCCTAAACTCTAAGATATAGGTAACTTAAGGTTAACCAAGGAAAGACTTATAATCTCAACAATGGATGTGAAGAAGACAATCAAAGGGACAAGAGGAACCTCTAAGATGACGCTTCAAGAATAAGGTTGATTATGTCAAGGCTGGTTGGGTATAAGGAAGAAAATATGCCCTAAACTCTAAGATATAAGGTACCTTGAGATTAACCAAGGACATAACTAAGAGCAAAGAGTACAAGGAGCAAAAGGAACCTCTAAGACACAAGCTTGATGGAATACGGTTGATTACTTCACGGTTTATTGGGTATAAGGAAGACTACAGCCTAAGCTCTAAGATATTAGGACTAATGGACGCAAGAATGATTATAAGAAAAAGCCGGAGAAGGACCAACCTGTAAAAAGACCCTCAAGGAATTTGGAAGGACAAAATTGAGAATAAGAGGAACCACTCAATTACAACCTTGACGGAATAAGGTTGATTACTTCCCGGCTTGTTTGGGTTAAGAAAGACAATGTGCCCTAAGCTATAAGATATAAGAACTAATGGATACAAGAATGATTAGAAGGACAAGCCTGTAAAAAAAAAACCTTAAAGAACTTCGAAGGACATACTTGAGCAAAGAGTACAAGAAGAAACAATAGGATTCTCTAAGATACAACCTTGAAGGAATAAGATTGATTATGTAAAAGCATGTTGAGTATAAGGAAGGCAATACGTCTTAAGCTTAAAGATATAAAATAATACATGGATTACCCAGGAAGACTTGTATTCTCAACAAATGATGTTGAGAAGACAGTCAAAAGGAACAAGTGCTGGAATAATTCCATGGCCTCGAGACATAAGTGAAGGACTAAAGAATTCAAGGGTGAATATAAGGACAAGTCGGAGAAGGACAAACCCGTAAAAAGACCCTTGAGGAACTTGGAAGGACATAACTAAGAACTAGTACAAAAAAGAACCCGAGGAACCTTTAAGATACAACCGTGAAGGAATAAGGTTGATTATTTCGAGGCTTGTTGGGTATAAGGAAGACAATGCGCACTAAGCTTTAAGATATAAGGTAAGGATCAAATGCTGGAACAAGTTCATGTACTCAAGACATAAGTTAAGGAATAATGGATGCAAGAACAAGGACAAGCCAGAAAAGGGCAAACCCGTAAAAGGACCCTCAAGGAACTTGGAAGGACATAACTAAGAAAGAGCAAAGAGTACAATAAGGAACAAGAGGAACCTCTAAGATACACCTTTGATGGAATAAGGTTGATTACTTCAAGGCTTTTTGGGTATAAGGAAAGCAATGCACCTTAAGCTCTAAAAGATAATACGGACTAATGGACGCAAGAATGAATATAAGAACAAGCTGGAGAAGGAAAAACCCATAAAAAAAACCTTCATGGAACGTAGAAAGACATAACTACGAGCAAAGTATACAAGAGGGAACAAGAGGAACCTCTAAAATATAACCTTGATGGAATAAGGTTGATTACTTTAAGGCCGGTTTGGTATGAGGAAGGCAATGCGCCCTAAGCGCTTTAAGATAAGGACTAATGGACGCAAGAGTGATTATAAGGACAAGCTAGAGAAGGACAAATCCGTAAAAAGACGCTCAAGGAACTTGGAAGGATATAACTAAGAGCAAAGAGTACAAGAAAGAACCAGAGTAACCTTTAAGATACAACCTTGAAAGAATAAGATTGATTATGTAAAGGCTTGTTGGGTATAAGAAAGTCAATACGCCTTAAGCTCTAAGATATAAGATAATACATTGGAAGACTTTATTCTCAACTTTGATGTTGAGAAGACAGTCATAAACAAATGCCAGAATAATTCATGGCCTCGATACATAATGGAAGGACTAAAAAACTCAAGGACGAATATGTAAAGGCTTGTTGGATATAAGGAAGGAAATATGCCATAAGCTCAAGGATATTGGGTTACACCAAGATTACCAAGGGAGGCCTGTATTCTCAACAAAGGATGGTGAGAAAGACAGTCAAAAAAGGATGTGAGAAGACAATCAAAAGGAACAAATACCGCAATAAGTCCATGGCATCAAGATATTCTTTCTTCTTGAGAAAGAGCTAACCAGGCCAACTGTTCTCAATTTCAGGATTGTCCTCAATCAATACACCCTCCCACTCAAATATGGCACCCAACCAACCACAGCCCATTCTTTCTTGTCTAAGCAATCGATTCTGTAATGAAGGATTATCTACTTTGTTTTCTGGAGGCTGTAAACCTGGCTGTGGATCATAGCCAGCATCAATATTATAATTCCAATCCTTTAGTATTTTGTCCTCTCTAAATGAATATGCGTCTTTTGTTTGTCATCTCCAATCTTAATTGACAAAAGTGCAAATCGATTCACTCTATATCCAGAAACTGGGGAAGACTAAATAAGCCTCTTTACCAACAAATTTTTACGTTGGAAACCAGCTGTTCTTCCTCTTGTAGGATGTGTCCTTAACAGAAGTTCCTCCACGTAGCAGCTGACCAAAAAGCGAAGCTGCTGCAATCGACTGAACCATCCTAACTAGTTGACTGTGCTTGAATCCAACGACAATTTTGTACTTCAGCTCCGAATTTACAGCCAAACTAGTCCAAATTTACACTTGAAAGAAACAGGAACCAACCAACCTGGGTTCTATTAATCAATTTCAACTTCTCCAAGCAGCCAATTGATTTCTATTAGAGTAAGTTAAAAAATTTTAAATTATAGAGTTCAATTTGTGAGGGTCAATTTGAGATTACTAAAAAACAGGGTAGATGGATAATTTTGTTATTTGTGATTCGATTTTTTAAGGTTGTTTAGTACAATTGTTTAAGTTGAAACGTTCCAAAAAGTCAAGAAAGAAAATATTTTTAGAATTAGAACAAGCGGGAGAAGGACTAAAGGACGCTAGGATGATTATAAGAACAAGTTGGAGAAGGACAAACTCGTAAAAAGACCCTCAACGAACTTGAAAGGACATAACTAAGAACAAGTAGTAACAAGAAGGAACCAGAGGAACCTCCAAGATACAACACTTAAGAAATAAGGTTGACTATGTCAAGGCTTGTTGGGTATAACAAAGACAATACGCCGAAGCTCTAAGATAGAAGGTAACAAAAGGTAAACCAAGAAAGACTTGTGACAAAGGATGTTGAGAAGAAGGAACAAATGTCGGAATAAGTCCATGGCCTCAAGACAAGTTAAGGACTAAAGGACGGATGAAGATAATAGAAATAAGGCCATAAGTTAAGGACTTAAGAGGATGTAAGGACGATTATAAGGACTAACGGGTAGAAGGACAAACCCGTAAAAGACCCTCAAGAAACTTGGAAAGACATATAAGAACAAGTACCCCTAAGGCAAGATAATAAGAACAATGAACTTTGAGGGACAAAATTTCTTAAGAGGGGGAGAATTTGTAAGACCCCAAGTGTAACTAAGACACCCAAGCAAGGATAAGGTTCTAAGTAAGTAGTATCAATGCCCTAGCAAGGTTTTATAAGGCCTTTCGAAAAGGTTTGGAATAGAATTGGAGAAAGAAATTCAAGGTGCTCAAGAAATGGAAAATGGCCAAAAAAAAAAAAGAGGGTACTCTCTTTGAATGGTTGGGTTTCCTAGAAAAATTGAATGATAATATCGATACGGACTTGATTTACTAAAAGAGGATGACTCACTTCTTGGGATTGGCTTAGAGATTTCACTAAGAAAGATCACATCGTTGTCGTCCTGATTCAGGGCTATTGGTGTGAGAGCAAAGTTGGAGGCATTGGACATGAAGTTTGGGTAAACTAATGTGACTACACTTAATAATGCTATGACCAGTAATAACTAAAGTTTGTTTTTGGGGCAATGAGGACATTACCAAGCTTATTTGATATACTAATCTAAGTTGCTTATTTGATGATTGCTTTCTTAAAAGTTCCTTGACTATGATATACTAATTCACTCTATCATGTGAAATTTTAGGTGCAGAACTCTCTTTGCTTATGGACAATCAAAGCTTTCCAAAGAGCTTGCCAGGTGATTAAAGGTGCTTACTGCTTATTGGTTTCTTCATTAAATTTATAACCAGAGCTTTAGCACTTGAATCATTGTCCTTTCAAAGACTGATCATATCATTGCTTTCTGAATCTGAAACTTTAGTCTTCGTCTGTGTAAATTGTTTAACTGGACACTAGCATACTACATACTAAGTAGTGAAGTAGGTGAAGTTCCCACAAAATTTATATTAACATCTTTTTAGACTGGACTTTATCTATCCATATATTTGAACACAACAATATTCCTCGTGTATTTAGGCCTTTTCTGCATGATACAACCTTTATATTAACATCCTTTTCTCATTGATTTCCAAAGTTATCTTATCAAGTCAAATCTGATATATATAACTATCGTTTCTCTACTTTTTTCTTTTTCATGAGAATTAACAGCCAATGCCATTCATCCTGGAGCAATTGTTACCGATCTACTATGTTTTGTAATATCCCGATTTGTACCAAAAGAATGATATCAGCAGAAGGTTAGCATGATGTCAACGTGACAGTACGGTCAACGGTCAGTTTTTTTAACATCCTCTTTTTATAGTTTTAAACTTCCCAGAGTCCGTTTTTTGACTTAATTTAGAGTACCTATTTTGACTTAATTTAGAGTACCTATTTGGAGTATGGCTTAACTCATACACACGAGACTTACCCGAGGGCCTGTTACAAGGACAGCTTGACTCATGCGCAATTAGTGTAAGGTTGATGGTAGACTTTGGAAAACAAAAACATAGAGCTAAGCATATATGAAAAACTGTACATTATGGCCATGAGGGTATTAAGTATAAACCCTAAAGTAGGAGTCTGTAAGTTTTAGGGTACGTATGAGCCTTATACGACTAGCACAAACTACATGTCATGGCATTGGCTAATGTTATAGTAAGTATCTAAGCACATATCTTAAGAAACCGCCACAAAGGTGAAGTCTAACAAGAGCATACAAGTGGTTACTTGCTGAGTATTTTTTACACTCATTTTTGTTATTCTTTGTTTTATAGACAGAGCTAAGACCATTCTTGATGGTGGGAGCGTGCAGAGCTATGCGGTTGCAAGAGGCATCCCTATGTCAAGTCTTTTCCTTTTATGTTGTTCTTAATATTATTTTAATGTTATTTATCTCGAAACTCGTGTTATTTTGTAACTGCTTTTGATGTTGACGCCGTAGAATATTTTGTACTTTAAATTAATATTATGTCAGTTTTAAATGCATGTTTGATTTTTCTCCTCGTGTTTCTCTGTTGTACAAAATTGAAAATTTTTACCACCCTTTTTACCCTTTAGTCCACATGGCGATCTGTGATTCGAGGTATCGAAAAGAAGGTCGTTACATATTGGTATCAGAGCCCTAGGTTGATTAGGTCATGTAGACAATTTTCCCTTGAAAGAGAGTCGTTTGGGTCTTTTGTAGCTTGGCTTGTAAGTAGCAAACACGATAACTCCAATTGAATTGCATGTATATGCTGAATACATTTATGAATTTGAATAAGTTAGCTTTGGTTAGAATACCTAGTAACCAAACTCTATGAGGAGGTAGGCCCTAATTGGGTTCGATCTCACTCGTGACTCCTAGTAAGGAAAGACACGCCAAGAACAAGAGTTCAAGTGTAGATTCTCCAACGGCTGTCATGGTAAGGATACCGTGACGCTACGACCCCTGACCCTGGGCACTGTGTCAAGATATTTGAAAGGCTTTTGGCATGACCCATCGACATTTGATGGAAAGAACGTAACCCCAGCTCATCGAGTAAGAGAAGAATCAGAATACTACAAGCGAGTGATGCCATTGCTCGAGGCAAGAGCAGGTGAGACAAATGTTAGGCTAGAGAGGACTATTTCTAAGGAAAGCTTTGGGAAACGTAGTAGGTCTTGGAACATTGTTCTCTGAAAGAACCAAGATTAATGGTCTGATTATGCAAATATAGTATAAAGGTATAGCTTGAGGTGATCCAAGTCTTGAGGAGCACGAGTGGTCTCCATCACATCTATCATAGAGGCAGAGATTACCCTGCCTGAAGTACCAATGGCAAAGGTCGTGCTAGAGGACAAGGAGGACGATAAGTACAAGATGGTGAGAGAACAACCATAAAGTAGTGTACCCAAGGTTGGGGGTAGGTATGGATGGTCAGATTTGCCACTCGTTGGGGTATAACTAGCTAGCACGGGAGTTTGGGGCCTAGCTAGTAGACGCTCCCTGATGTGTCTCGAGGAGAACAAGATGCTAGTGGGAGACTAGATTGTAACGCCTGAAAGGGGTTATACGAAGCTAGAAGCTTCTTATACAATACTCGAGGGAGGTATTATACAGGAGAAGACTAAGAGGGGTACTATGAGATGGTACAATCGTGAGCACACAAGTTTTAATGTATTGAATGAGGGAATTTTGCTCGAGGACTCAAGTGACAACCTAGCTCACATTATCAATCTAGCCTGGAATGACACCCCGTCTAGAATGGCAATGAGTAAGGAGATGGTTGCATGCCACTATGTGTAGTCGATAACACTAAAAGTGTCCCAATAAGAGGAGAATTATGCCCGACAAGATGTAGGATGCCATGGATGGCAACATTGCCTTGAAAATGAAAAGTTAAACTCAGTCCTGGTTCAACTCATTCAATAGGCACGACACAAGAAGTTGTTATCTATGCCCTTGTAATGAGAGGAGATTTAACCTAACCATAGGTTCATGGGTTTGGATCAATCTTCGTGCTTGGCATGGGAATATAGAGGCAAAAAGTGATGTGTACGACAATAAATATAGTACCATGGACAAACGGTTGAGCTTGATACTAAAGATTGAGGGTAAGACATATAAATGAACGGCTTCACCACCTGATGTGGTGTGACATGTCGACATGTGAATATGAAATTGGATAGGTGTGACATGTCGACATGTGAATATGAAATTGGATAGGCAACAAACTCCTTATCACCTATATTCATGCAGATAATCTCCCTGGTGATCAAATTGAGCTATGCGGGTGTAGGAGGGACCCCTAGATTGAGTCTTTTCCTTTTATTTTGCTTTTAATATTATTTACCTTGAAACTCAAGCTATATTATAACTACTTTTGATGTTGACTCCACGAAATATGTCAGTTTAAAGGCAGATTTGATTTTTCTCCTCGCATTTCTTTGTTTTACAAAATTTTTTACCTTTCATTGTGTCCACGTGATGATCTATGATTCGAAACATCAAAAAGCAAGTTGTTACAGTTTCCATTGTCTCATCAATGGTAGCTTTCTCGTCCGGTAACATGTATAAGGAAAACCTTTATATTTCGCATCTACTTGGTGAAAAAAATTTGAAGGGTCATATGATCTACTTAGAGAGGGACTATCTTCAATCACTTGAAAAGCTTTGCTGTTTCATTCCTTCTACATCCTTTATGCAGGCATATTTAGTTTGAGGATGTGATTTCTGAACAAATATAAACATCTACCTACCCATCTTATTAATTATGCATTCACATGTTTCTTTACTTTTTCCATTTTCCTGCTTATATTATCACGCTCATGAGTTTACTATCTCTGTGTATAGACTTATTCAGTAGGTATTTTAGTTCTTGATTTCACCCAATTTTACTTGGTCATGTAGGGAGCGGCAACTCAGTGTTATGTGGCGTTGAACCCCCAAGAATATGTAGTTGGCCAAGAAACTGGGGGATTTATGTGATTGATAATAATATTGCCAGCCCAACCAATCATGCCAAGAATATGTAGTTGGCCAAGGAACTGTGGGATTTATGTTATTGATATATGGACTGTTAAATGGTGGAAGTAGATGTATCATTATTTTTAGTTTCAAGTGCCCCTTTGAGCCTATACAAACAATTACTGAGCACAAGTTTGTTATACTGTGTAACAAATACAATAGTGTTTTTGTAGATTTCAGTCCAAAAGTGTTACAAAAGTATTTTAAACACCTATTCTGGATAAATAATTCACAACCAGCTCATGTAAAAGCTTTAGAAGATAATTATGAATATAGCAACTTTTTTCTTTTTCATTTTCTTATAAATAAACTCCAGCAACATGTTGCCCTTGGGAACCAGAGCAGTGTGTTTGTGTACTGGTGCTGTAATTCTTATTCTGTTTGCAGGTCATCCATTTCATACAATGATGCATGTCGATTAGACAGTTCTGCAATTTTTGGGTAGCCCAATCCAATGGATTCTCAACCTTTTTTTCTTTTTTCTCGTGTTTTAATTCTAATTAATTCAAGATCGACAAAAGAAATGCTGTCAAAAGATAAAAACAATTTTTATTACCATATTTACACACTTTCAATTTCTACAGAATACTAATAGCTGTTACAATTCAAGTGAGGAGCCACTACTGTTTGTTAATAGGGCCCATTGTCGACTACAGATTTCTAATTATCATACTATTCAGACCTGCCTGTGTTTAGGAGGTCAGATTGTTGAAAATAATATGGCTTCTGGTTTTTCTCTTTTCATGATTTGTCCTCTTTTTTACCTTCAAAGCTCACCAGTCCTCTAGCAATTTGTCTTACCTATTACCTACTAAATTGCAACTGCAAAACATGATGGGCATGAGGAAATTCCAGAGGATAATCACCAGTTTGCTCATCTTTGCTGCGCCATTGGAAAGAATGACCAGGCCCCCGTGGTCGTGCCTTTTGTCTCTGCATCTTTCGCATTAGCCCACCAGTCCGAGTTGATATTAGGCTTAAGTGCATTACTTCCATTGCCATTATCAAAATTAAATTCATTCACAGACCCAAGAGTAGTAGAATGATGATGTTCTTGATGCTGATTTGCTTCTTCACCGTCTGCTGCCTTTTCTTCTATACTATTTGAGCTATGACCACCACCAGAAGAAGTTTCTTTAGCCGTTTCAAATGTTTCATGCATTGGAGATGATGCAACTGCAACATTTGACTCCAGTGGCTTACTTTCTACGTTTCTTAATAAAGAATCTTCGTCAGATAACTCAAATGAGAATCTATGATTAGTAACATCAGGTTCCTCCATTTGGCTTCCATCAATGAGAATTTGAATATTTTGGGATTCATTCATTGAATCTGAAGTTCGAGGATTCAAATCAAAATCATCATCATTCGATTTGAATCCTACAGAATTTTGAGTGCAAGAATCAGAACTTTGCCCTTGTCTGTCAAGGTTCAACAGCGCAGGTGGAACATCCAATGAGAAATTAGAAAATTGAGAAGCTGAGGAAGCAAAATCCAAATCTGGCAAAGGCGAAGATGCCCCAGAAAGAGAAATGGCAGAGCGTGGCGATATGAGGTTGCTAACTGGGCTACCAGGATAGAATTGATAAGATTGAAAGTCATCATTAGGACATGAATATTGGTCATCAGACTCAGCTTTAGGAAGGTTCGGTTGAAGAAACTGAGCAAATGGAACTTCAGGGGAAGAAGGTGTAGTCAAGTGGATAGACTCAGGAGGAGTGAAGGAAGGAGTCGATGGTTCAGTGGTGAGAGTAGAAAAATTCATAGGTGGAGATACAAGCTGTGTCTCATGAGCAAATGGGCCAATGGCAAAAATCGAGGAAGGCCCATCAGGAGAATACATGTTAGCAGTGAGAGAAGTGAAGGAGAGTATATTTGAAGGTGATTGTGTAGCAGAAGGTGGCTCTGATTGAAGAAAGGATGCAGGGGAAGAGGGAGGTGCAGCAAAAGGAAGCACAATGTCTGGGGATTGCAATGAATTTTGATGAGCCTCAGGCGAAGGACTTGGTTCTGGGACAAGGACGGCATGCCCAATTCGTTTCCTCTGTCTGAGAGATCCAAAGCACCAATAAATACTCCAACAGCTACCCCATCTTCTTTTCTGGGGGTAATCAAACAAACAGAAAAGGAGGAAAGTGATAATGACATCAGTACAGAACAGTGCAAAGATTTTGGGCAAATGAGAGTCCTATTTGTTGGAATCTTTATATAAAAAGCATTACTATTCCTCTATATAGAAGAACATTTTAAAAAAAAAAGACCTCTCTGCATCTCTTTTTGATAAAAAGAAGAATGGAGAGATGCCTTTCTGATAAGAAAAAGGGCAGTGTTATATTACAAAAAGACAAACAAAATTGGTTGGGAACAGCGCATTGCTTCCGGACACAGTCGTCCAATCCAATACACTAATCTTGGTACTTTCCAAACCTTAAAAATCTAATAATCATATGCGAGAAGAAATCCAAAAGGAGAAAAAGAGGGAAAACGAAACTCGTGATTCCCTTTTTCGCTTGAATCCATGTGACGATTCACAGTTTCAAAGCAAACAAACAGAAGTAGCAGAAAAAGGGGGAAATTAAAAGCCTTATATAGAATTCCGCAATCCACAACAAACAACACAGATTCCATTCCGCTATATTCTATATATCATCCCTCCAAAATCAACTACATCCTAATACCTAACGGAATCAAGAACGAGCAATAATTTCCAAAAACAAGGCCAGTATCTCAATCCATAGGTAACTAACACTAACACCTAAAATTCCAAATGATTGATTAAAAGGTGAAGTGATATGACGAATACCTGGACGGCAGTATCCCGAGGAAACCGATGATCAACGGTGGCGATCACATCGGCGGCCGTAGTAATGGTCTGAAAAGTGTTATTCATAGGCCTCAGATCAGCATCAGCATCCGCATCCGCATCCGCACGCCGCCTCATCTCTCTCATTGATCGACGCCAGGGATTCGCTGATAGTGTTCATAGAAGAAAGTTGTGGTTCCTCTTACACGAAATTTTTCGGGAGAAAACACAGAACAAATAAGGAGAATTTGCAGTCAGAAAGTGAAGAGAAAGATCGTTAGAAGAGAGAAGAAAGAAGACGGAAATTAAATTAAAAAGAATTATTATGTAATTAAAAAAAAAAAGAAATTAATTATTTAATAAGTGAAAGTGAAAGTAGCTATTTATTTGGGTTTATCTTTAATAATTATAATTATTATTGAGGTTTAGGTTAAGGTTTATTACAAGTCAAACACGGCAATGAATTTGCCTTTTTATTTCTTTTTTTATTATAAAATTTCCAACAACCAAAATATTAGGTCAATATCTTTAAAGTCTCTATTTTCATTATGAATTTGTCAATTATACCCTTGGTTCACACTTATAATTATATAATTATGTTATAATATAAATTCACTAAATATAAATTTAAATGTAATAAATGAAAAAATGTATCATTTTATAACAACAAACACAATTTATATGCTTTAAATTAAAATATTTAAAATCATACAAATTCATAAGAATCAAAATTCAAACTTATATATATTATTGGCGCACGTGTGCATATAGTTGTGTGATATTTAATAAACTCTTCACGCGTTGTTGGTTATTTTTATTTTAGAAAAAAAAAATATTAAACTTATTTAATAATGAACACTTTAAATCAACGACTTATTCCTTCTTTTATTTCCCTGTCCCTGTATTTGACACGTGGGACGAGTTGACACTATAATTCAATTAGTTTCTGTTTTATTATTACTTGACTTTATATATTTTATGTCTACGTGCACATTCACGTCATATTGTATGCTATTTGTGGACTTAGGACTTATATCATTATATTTCATTGATCTAGTCTTGGGTTTAATCAAATTTTATATTTATATTGCTATTATAAGGTTTTTATGTGGTTTGATTTGTCAACTCTTGGTCACCTAATCTTTGTATATAGCTAACTTCGGAGACCAAGAAAAACTAGACCTAAAAGTAAAATTTGGAAATTAAAAGAAATTTAATAAGTCTAAATTATATCCATTAATTGATTTTTAAAATGCCTTTGAGGTTATAATTTTTCTAAGCCATTTAATAGGTAACAATTTACTTTTTTAAAAAAAAAAATCAATTTGGAAAACCCCAATAAAAAAAAGTATGTTAACCCTCTTCTCCCTGTCACAAATACAAATCTTAAGTAATAGAGTGAATCTTGTCTCTAAGAAGACCAAAACCATCGTTACAGAGTTGGATGACAATCCTAACGATGACTCAATGATCCCCTTGAAACCTAGTAAATTAGGCTAAGAAATAGAATTCAAACAAGAAATTGATACTCGAGGAAGATTAGAATATTCTTGAATAAGTATGATAACAATTTTAGGGATAATTTGAAGGAAAATTAAAATGTCAAAAACTGAGAAATATCAAAATAACACCTAAGGGACAACTACAACAAAGTCAAATCATGAATTCTAACTATAATGGATTGTAAAAGACGAGAGGAACTAAGAGCCAAACAAAGAAGAAAATCTCAAACAAAATAAAAATAGACATGGGAAGAGAACCGAACCACGAAAGAAAGAGGAATAGAGAGTGTTGGGGCGAAGCCCAAGCCCACGTTCTAGCACCAACTCAATACTCGTATACCCTAACCCTAGAAGGAAAGAAGAAAAACTCCCACTACAAATAAGTATCTACATTCTTACTAACATAAGTATCAGAGCCTAATGACAAGTCTATCGTCTACCTTACTTGTCTTTTTCTTATAAACCACATTCTACCCTTATTATCCCATCATGAATCAAACACATTCTCATCTCCAAAATTTGACAAGAGCAAGCTTCATCTAAAAAAGAAAAAGAAAAAGAAAAAATGAGTTATGTCTTTTAGGAGAAGGATTGATATGGCGTGGAGAGTGAATGAGGTGGAATTATGTCGTTTTGTTTTGAAAAAAAAAGTTTTTATCTTTAATGGTCCACATACCTACCTGCTCACTACTGCCCATGCTTTTATTTTTTTGTTTATTATTTTTCTTTTTACTTCTTGGGATACTAATTTATGTCCCTTCTTCCTCCAATTGCTAAATCTTCTTACTCTAAAAAAAATACATAATTTTAAAAATGGGAAAACCACTCAACTTATAATTTAGTATCGAAAATAAAAATTAATTTTTTCCTCTTTCTCAACAATATATATATATATATAATTTA